GCGCGCGCTCGCGGTCCGCCCAGCTGGGCCGCACACGTGACTCGCCTCCCTGCACCGCCCTTCCCACGCTGAAGCCACATCGGCCGCCATGTTGACTTTGGGAGTAGAACGGCCTGTTCAGCCAGACCAGATAACTCGAGGCCGCCGACGAGGTTCTGCGGCGTGAAGCCGGATCGAGGCCATGTGTATTGTGGGCACTGTACAAGCGCAGCAGTCGCTCTCGCTAAACTACGGAGTGGCAGACTCGCTGCTGTGGGCCTCTGGCTTTCCTGATTAGATGGCAAGAGATCTGAGGAAGGGGCAGAAATCAAGCTACTATCCCTTTTCAAAATGGTGACAGAGCTGGGGGACGTAGCCATGTCCTGTTGTGGTCAAGTTAGCTCCGTCTGGCTCCGAGGGATATTGGAGATCCAATGGCCTACGCACGACCCAAGGGCTATCACAGAGCCTGGCACATTCCTGTGGGTTTTTCTTCCAGACTGCACCTTGGGATGCCAGGGAAACGACGTTATTAGAATTACTTTCCTTTTCAGATCAGCCTTAAACTCACCTCTGAGCTGTCCCTTTATTCATTCATTTGTTCAGCAGTTACTGAGCACCAGCTATGTGCCGGGCACTGTGTTAGGCACTGAGAATACTACAAAGAACAAATCCAACACGGTTTCTGCCTACCATTTTACACTCTTAGTGGATACGTAGAACTTATGTGTTCCTTACATTATGACAAGTGTGGAATATCTTCTTTAATCTTCAATCCAATGCCTTTGAGATTGCCCTCACTCAAAGCCAAGTTTGATTCAAATCCTAAACTTGATCTCTAAACCAAAGGTCTGAGACCCGCGACTGTCACGGTGACCAGTCAGGTCATAGCAATCACTGAGGAACCCTGGTGAAGCATCATCTGTTGACCTACTAATATTGCAAGTGATGTGGCTCTCAATGTTGGGGAAAACATAGGGGATGATAGAGACAGTAGCACACTTCAAATCCTTCTGGAAAGTGGCTGCCGTGCAGCTCTAGTCCCTTGTTCCCATGCAAGAATGAAGGCTGCCAGATCATATGATTTTTTAAAAAGAAGGTGAAAAGCCTGTTTTTAAATGTGACTTCACTTAAAAAAGAGTTGGGGGAGGGGGCATTATGTATTTAGACTGCCTTCAGCCCCAGAAGTGTTACAGTAGTTTGTGGCCTCTTCTTTATACATTCTTTTTGCTAACAGGGCAAAAAGAATAGTTCTTTTTACTGCAGAAGGGAGAAATCGGGGAAGAAAGAGCCCTTCCCTTTTTAAAAAACATGAAGGCTACCTTACTCCCATTTCAGTAAATAGTTTTTCTCTCTGGGTTTCCACACTCTACAAAGTAGGGTACTGTGGTGTATCCCTAGGGTGCTCTGCATGGATTGAAATGACTTCCACTCCCACAACCTAGCCAAAACACCCATTCCTCGCAGCACCTTGAACTTCTCTGGACATCAAGAAGGAAGGGGTCTGGTCCTTCATACTAAAGGTGAACACAATGGCCCTCAACCTTTGCAGATGTTTGCTGCTCCCAGCCTTTGTCGGTTCCAATCCCTCTGCTGTGAACATCTTTCCTTGAACTTTTTCACTTAGCTAGTCTCTTCTCACCCTTAAAGTCTCACCTCAGGCCTCAAATCCCTCCAGAAGGTATCCCTTCCAGCAGCTCTTCTGGTACCTTTCAGTCATGATGCTGACCACAATGGAATTCAGTCTGCAGTCTGTCACCTTCACGAAAGTGTAGGCGCCAACCTGTAAGAGACCCGTGTCCTCAGTGAGCACTCGGTAAGGCAAGCATCCTATTGCAGATGCACTGTTTGGTAACAACGTGTCCAATGATATATACCTGAACTCCTTGGTGGGACTCCTGAGAACTCCATTCCTAGTCTGGCCCTTCCTATGATTCTAGGCCTACTGGTTTCTGAGGACCCCCAGAGCCATTCAGTGTGGCCAAAAAGGTTTCAAGAGTCTTTAGTTGGAGAGCTTAGAAGATGGTCATTCTTTTAAGATGAACTCCAATCAAGTTTCTCTAGTACTCCTTCAGACTGGGGATATAGCTCAGAGGTAGCTCACTTCCCTAGCATGTGCAGGGCCTTGGGTTTGATTCCCAGCACTGAAAAACAACAAAATGGGGTAATTCTTCCACCAGCTGTCTGTTACACTGAGAGAAGGGAAGGTACAAGGGGGAAAATGGAAGTAAGTACCAGTGAGTATCATCGTAGCCTGCAGCTGTATCCTTACACTGAAACCTGTGTATATCCAATGGTGTCAGCCCAAGGACATACTTGACATTTCATGCCTGACACTATCCATTTCATACGTGACACCTATTGTCAGGCTGACCTCCCAAGTGGTTCTATCCAGCCTACAATGAATAGGAAACACCCATTTCCTGTCCTGCAATAGTGTTGAGTTTTACAGCCTTTTCTGTATTGGAAAATTTAATGAACAATAATCCAGATGTCATCATCATGCTTGGGAACTCATAAAGACTGAAAATGAATCAGTTAACATTATTTAACACCTAAGAGATTTAGAGAAAATTACCTATTTCCTTAAGAATCAGTAAGAGGCATAATGCCCACTTTTTGAGGGTATTAGTGTACTTAGCAATGCATTCAACTATTTCATTCTTTGCTGGTAAGTAGCAAACAGGAAGCAATATCCTCTATTAAACATAAAGAGAAATTTAATAAGCTCACGTGATATATTAATGTGCTGAGGTATGAACAGCACAAGCCTGTCTTTCAGTTGACCAACTTCCTGTATGAAAAGGATGCAGAATTAGGGAGGACAGCTGAAGCTCCCACTATGAAAATTGGGCAGGGATTGGGGAGAAGGTGCACCCCTTCCCACCTCTCTTAGCTAGAACCTAGAAAGGTGAAACTAAGGAAGGGCAACTGCTCTACATGCATACCATCCTGAACATGCCTGATCTCGCCAAATCTCAGAAACTAAGCAGGATTGGGCCTGATTACTATTTGGATGGGAGAAAAGCCAACCACTTGCTCCTATCTGGATTTTGGCTCTGGAAGTGTTGACAAAAGTTCGGCTGGAGATAATGCAGTAAGTGAGCAAATCTGGTAACTACATTTTCAACAGTGAGGCTCCAGTAGTGTACAGTGCCAGGGAAAGTGGCTGCTTTAGTGGCAGGTTCTCACCAATGTCTACCTCGCTGGGTTTCTGCCCAGGCCTGTTTCTCCAGCTCTGTTTTTTTCTGAGTGAACCTGATAGGCTTCCTATAAATTCCTTTGTTGCTGAAACTAACCAGTGTCGGTTTCTGTTGTTTGCAATGAAGAAAATGACGAGCGGTGCATTTTTATTAGCAATTTGGATTTTTACTGGTGTGAGTTACTTGTGCAATTGTCCGCCTATTTTTCTTTATGTGTTCCTTTTATAAATGTTGGCCGATAAATAGTACTTTGTGTATGAGTTGTGTTATTCTTTAATCCATACCAACTCATTTGGTTATTTACCTTTTATTATGGTTTGGGTCTAGAAGTCCCCTCCCCAAAGCCTCACGCAGTCATAGGTGGCTGAGTGTGTGATCTGGTGTGTATGATGCTGGGGTTGAAGGTGGGTGATTACTAAATCAGTCCACTGATTGGTTTGGCACCGTGCCAATTCTGGTAGCCTAGATACAATACAAGGGACAAAGACAGGCTTGCCTTCTCCCTTCTTGCTTTTGCTACCTTGTGGGCACCATGAACTGCCATTCTCTGCTGTGTCACCCTGCCTTGGGGCCAGGACGGGAACTTCTACAAGCTGCGACCTCAATAAACCTTTCCTCTTTAACTTTGGGGAATTTTGTCTCAGCAACAAGAGAAAAGTAACTAAGACATCTTTCAACTGTGTTCGTGATGTTTTCAGATCACACAGAGAATTTTATTTATTTTATATAGTCAAACAATGATGAGTCTTTTTCATGAAGATTTTTTGACATGCTGAGACAAACCACCTTCCTCCATTCCCAGATCATAAGACAAATAATTTTGTGTTTTTGTCTAATTCTGCTATTGGGTTTTCTTCTCCTTACTTTTAATGTTTTCTCCCTTAGGACTTTATTTTTGCATACGAAGTGAGGTAGGGATCTACCATGGTTTGAATATCATTTGTCCCCACCAGAACTCATGTTGCTGAAGTTTGGTTCCTGTGTGGCAGTTAGGAGGTGGGACCTAGTGGGAGCAGAGCCTCGTGAAGGAATGAACCCTTCTCTCAGGTGAGTTTGTTCGTGCTCTCACAAGACTGGATTCATTACCACAAGAGCAGGTTTTATAA